TAACACCGTGATTTTCAAGACAAAAATTTTTATTTAAATAATCAATTTAATATTAATACACTTGTTTAAAATCTTATTCACATTCGAATTACAAAACATAGTTTCATTCTTTATTATAATAGAAGACCAGGATCCTCCAAAACACAACTCTTTCTTCGGTGTGTACAATCGAACCGTTGCCATCCCGCGTTACTGTAAGAACCTGAAACAACATAACATAAACAACGTAAGCACGAAGCTTAGTGAGTTCCCCAATATACACCTTACGCACGTACGCCTTTCCAGGCCCTGACCTTCCGGTCCACTGCACAATGCCTTCCGGCCCATGAGATAATCGCCTTCCGGCCCATAAGATATTTGCCTTCCGGCCCATAAGATAATTGCCTTCCGGCCCATAAGATAATTGCCTTCCGGCCCATAAGATAATTGCCTTCCGGCCCATAAATAATTGCCTTCCGGCCCATACACATATATAACACATAACACAAATACTCTAACACATAAAGCACATATATCATATATCAACCTGCCTTCCGGCCCGTAACATACTCTAACACATAAAGCACATACATCATATATCATACCTGACCTTTCTGTCACATAATACTTTGCCTTCCGGCCCATATATAAACATGTATATCACGCGTAGCAGCTAACTTTCCATTTATAGCATATAAACATAACACATAACATACTTGACCTTCCGGTCACACAATCAAACCCTTCCGGGTACAGTATAGTGAGAAAACTCACCTCGCGGACGCTGGAAGATAACAACTCCTGAAATCCCTTGCACTTGATCCTCCGAGCTACAAGCTCCCTGTAACATCATATATCTCTTTCATTAATACTTCTATCTTCCATGTTAACTGACCCTAAGAAATCACACCGGTCAACTCTGGTCAACGGCCATCTCGACTGGACTCGGCGAGTACCCTGGCGACTCGGCGAGTCTAGTCGTCCTCACAAATTCCTGAATGTTCCCTTTCTACTCGTCGAGTATCCCTCTTGACTCGACGAGGTCCTCGTGGAAGAATCGCGGGGCCACCCGACTCTACTCGCCGAGTCTGAAGAACAAACTCGGCGAGTCCCAGTGAATCTTCAAGCTACTCGCCGAGTCTGCTCATCCGACTCGGCGAGTCCACGCCATGCAGTCGATCGAACTGCTTCCTGAGATACATATATTCCCGAATATACAAACATGGGACCTTCTGGACCTCTAAGGGTCCTAATACAAGGTTATAAACATTGGATAACGACACAACAATCCATCTAATCTCCAAATGGGTTTCATAAACCCTAAATTCGTGTACACATCAAAATAACAGGAATGATCCGAAACATAACCTGAAAACGTACTCTCTGTGTCCCCAAACCTCAGAACTCGACCCCCTTGATCTTCCTTTGGCCAAATCCTTCCTCTTCTTGCACCAAATTCCTTCAAAGTCAATAATGGCCTTCAAGTTTGCTCTAGATGCCACAGTCGTTTAGGGTTCTCCTCAATCGGCCAAAAGACGTGAAATGACGACATAACAACCTTATATACGACCCAATACGAAACGGCTAGGGTTTCCGCTGAACAGCGTCGACTCGCCGAGTCCATACCTGGACTCGTCGAGTCCAGTCGCGAACCCGCGACCAAATCTGCGACCCTACTCGGCGAGTCTGGCTCCAACTCGCCGAGTCTCCCCTTTAAAACACCCCAAAATGCAATTTAACAATACTTGAGATTTTGGGCTGTTACAATTCTCCCCCACTAGAATTAGACTTCGCCCTCGAAGTCTCACTCTGAAAATAGTTCTGGATGCTGCTCCCGCATCACACGTTTCGGCTTCCCTAAACACTTCCGATATCTTCCGAGGTTGCCACTGAATCAATGCCAGAGGTACCTCCTTGTTCCTCAGAAACTTGATCTTCCGATCCCTGATGGCCACTGGCCTCTCGGCGTAACACAGGCTCGCATCCACCTAATCGTTCTCTAGTAGAACCACTGCTGACTCATCTGCTATACACCTCTTCAATTGCGACACCTAAAAGTGTCATGGATCCATCCAAATTCCGTTGGCAGCTCCAACCGGTATGCCACTTTTCCTACCTTCGCACCTTCACGCAAAGACCCAACATACCGGCCCCTACTTACCCCTCTTCCTGGATCCAAACACCCCTTCCCAGGGAGAGACCGTCAGGAATACGAAGTCGCCGACCTGAACCACATGCCCGCAACGGCGTCTGTCTGCATAACCTTCCTGTCAACTCTAAACGATCTTTAACCTCTGATTAGCCTGACGCATCTGCTCTGTCGACCAAAACACGATCGATGCACTATCCACCACTTCCTGCAACCGAGAATTACCCAAGACGCGACTCTGCTCTAAATCTCAATGATCACACGACTCATAAGGCTTATGAAACTCAGAATTACCGGTTCCCCGATCCTAAGCCCACTTTATCCATATCGGAACAACTGAGGGACCCATTCTCAATCTTAGGGCAACTCTCACGAGTTCTCTTCCTGCAAACACCTACCCTGGCTGCATTAGCCCCAACATACCTTTCCCTTCCCTCACTTAGTGAAACCCGCTTGACAACCTTGACACTACTCCCTGTATCACACATGCACTGGATCTGCTCGCAAGGACTCTCGAGTCCATGCATTACCTTTCCTCCACGAACGAGGTTCCGACATCACCTTCCATGCAACAGCTCAAAGGGCGGCATACTAATGCACTAATGATGGCTGTTAATATGGAACAACTCAACCAATGATAATTACGTACCGCGGCTTCCTCCGACAGCTAATACACATGCCCGAAACATGTCTTCGAACGTCCGCATCGTTCGCCCTCTCTAAAGTGTCCTCAGATGTCATCATGATAAGCTCCTTTCCCATATTCCTCTTCAAGACTAAGTACCAGATCAACTTTTGGCTCCACATCTGAGCCCCCAACGGTCACCCATATCGCGATCCAAATATCCACTGACTTTTCTCCCCGTGACCACTATCCCGACCCAGTGACACGTAAGTCACAAAATCTTCTTTTCCTCGTAAGAGAAAATACAATCCCACCGAGGATCGTCTCAACTCTAATCTCTGGTTTCTGCTGTGCCTCTTCCTTGCGTATCTCCCCGCATCCCCCGACAGAGACGAAGACCCCCGTTTCGCCCCTGACTCAACATACAAGCTCCAAAGACTCAATATCAGGGCTACCCAAACTCAAAACTCTTCCACCTCATACGCTGCTCGAAAATATTCCAACATAAAAATTCTCTTGCCACCCAGTGAGTACTGCAACTCCACGCAGCATCACAACACCCTCTGACTAGTGAGTACTGCGACTCGAACATCCACCACAGACTATGGAGGCAATCAACATAACGAACGCCCATCTTGCGAAAATCCACCCTCTCAAATAATCCCCCTGCATGCCCATGCTCTAAGGCTCCCACGAGATCCGCAGATACTTGATATGCCACACGTCGATTCAACTTAGGATTCACGAATAACTCCGAAATAAAGATGTCATACCCGGATATTTCAGAATACCTCAACCGAACATCACAAGATCCTGCCCCAAGCATCATGTAGATACAATAATACATCCCCTCGGAATCCCATAAATAGATCTACATTTTTCCACATCACAACTTCGGTGTATATAATTTCTCGATTGGAAAACGAGGAAGCGCTGATGCTACGAAATATGCTGATAATTCTCCGAAACCCTTCTTCCGACGCTCAAAATCCAAACGAGGATGCGCATACCGACCCAAACATTCTTTATCTACTCGTAACGACACCAAACACCTGTCATGGATACATTCGTTCTCCTCC